AGTAATATTTATGAGAGCAATGTTTAAGCTTGGCTGATGATTTTTAGAATTGTTTCTTGTTTTGAAGTAAATAAAATAACAGAAATGAGATACGGTGGATATAGAGTGAAAGGGACTTGGGTCTCCCCTTTTCCACGCCCAGACAAATTATACTGAATTACGGTTAAAGAGTACGGACCATTAACCAAACACATTTTAGTGATTTTACCATTTCTACTTCGTTGCCAATTTTTGTCCCTACATTCCCTATTTATTTTTTACATTCAACAATTTTAAATTATGTAATTTCGTGAAGTGAAAGTGTCAAAAAATTAATGAGATAGAAAGACTACTTAGCTTGTATGTGTGGAAATCATTTTAATGTTTATTGTTATATTGGACTCCTGAAATTATATTCAATTTAATTTATATGATAATTTGAGTAGAATTAAAAAAAATGAATTTTACATATTTAAAAACTACATTAGAATTTTTCAAAATAGCGGTGATATTGTTATATTTCGTATTATTTAATCAAATGAGTAACGAAAATAAGTAAAGAAAGTGAATAGAATTTGACATCGTAAATATTAAATGTGCAAAGGAAAGGACCACTTGCACCCCGTAAAAAATACTTGAGAAGATTTATATTTTATATGTGAAATTTAAGATTAAAAAATTAAAACTCTTGAAGACATCATCTTTTATAATTAGTGTTACATTTTATATTATTTTAATATAATACCCTAAAGTTCTGGTGGGCGTTGCGCAGATGACAAAGCAAGAAGTGCCAGGAGGTAATACTCGAGTTTGGTTTCTAGAAGCTGCATTGGCCGGGAAATAACTATGGCAAGCATAAGGTCTCTATATCAGGTTCAATTCAATTCTATTTTTTTGCCACTAATTTGTGATTAAAGCATAATTTACTTCGCAATATTTTAAATAAATAAGTATTGAGTAAGTAAATACTCTATCCATCCCATATGTTTCTTCTTGTTTCGAACGCGTGAAATCTTATCATTTTTAAAATAATTTTATTTATAAATTGACATAGAAGAAAGTACGATTTATCATAAAATAAGAGTTCGCATTGTGATAATGTGACACTGTATATGAACATTTCATAATATTTTTCGTATATTTTTTATGTTTTACTTCTTCATTAATCTTTTTTCATAATATACAAAATAAAAGATGATAAAAATACTTTATTTTGTTGATTGAGCAATTAAAACATACATTCAAACACAACTTATCGAGATGTCAGAATAATAAATAAAAAAGACATGGGCTGGACAGAGTAAAAAAATTGGAGGATATAATGAGTAGTGGCAAGGCAAGAGTGGGTAGACCAAACTACCCCCAATGGGAACAAACGTGTAAGGTCATAAAGTGAACTTATTACGGAGTATTTTTTTTGCAAAGGGAAATCAAATCCGCAACTACCCCAAAAGGTCTCTCAAGACCATGGCATTCCAAAAATACTTTTCGGAACTTTTGAAATGACTTATATACTCCTTACATATTAAAATAGAGCTGTTTTTCTGTGATCTTAAAGTCTGTATATAAATTTTTTTATATTTTTTATAAGACGAGAAGTAGACTTTTCATTTTTTTGCTAAAGGCTAAATTATTTTATGATATTAATGTACTAAAGTCTATATATATATATATATATAATGAACATGAACCTTAGAACCATATAAGAATTTGTCATAAAAATAAAATTAATAACCCCTATCAATTTGTGTTTCTGTAATTTTTTTGAACAATTAACATAATAAAAATATCAAAATGTCAAATTAATAAGATATACTCCATATATACAAAAAAATTAAAATTTAGGACTCCTCCAAAAATGGGGGCGGACGAGGTGACGGCCCCACCCATTCTCTAGCCGGCCGGCCTCTAAGCCACCCCAAGTCCCCAACACTATTGGTCGGTTATGGTTAGCGGTCAGCTCGGTCAAGTGTGACCTATTTTTATCATAAAAGATGTGAATAAGGTCATTTTCAAATTCACACACAAGATGATTATTGCTCAAAACTACTCCATCACATTTCTACTTTCAGTCTAGGATAGAAAAAAATGGCCCGATTAAATTTTGACAAGTCTAATATTTAATGATTTTTTAGAATGAATTTAATAAATGACCCATTAGGACTAGTGTACAAAAATTATTTATAACGTGATTTCTTCAATATATAGTTTTCAATTTCTAAAAAATTATTTTTGTGGTCTTCCATATTTGAGAATTACTCCGTACTTCGTAAGTAGTCTATAATCAATCTAATTAGGACTAGTGTTAAAAAAATTTGGATCAAAGAATTAATTACGGAATGATTATCAAATATAGAGGATCACGAATTCAATTTATTAGTCTATTCATTCCATAAAATCCTTCCTTTTTGAAAAACGTCACACCCTTAAAATGAATAATTTTGGTATTATTTTCAAATTTTACTCTTAATAATAGAGTAGGATGCGATACATAAGATAAATGAGTCATAATTAGAAAATAGTACCAAAATTATTCATTTTAAAGGCTCGCCTTTTTTCAAATATGAAGGGTTTATAGGACGGATGGAGTATAATAATTGAGAATTATCTGCATAATAGTCATACATTTAGAGAGACAAGGCGGGGGCTAGGCTGGAGGGGTGGGGTGTGGTGGGGGTTCAGGGGTGGGACTAGAATTTAGAAGGTGAAACCATCAATTTTGCAAACGAAACACCATGAGTGCTCTAAATGAGAGAGTGTCATCCGATCTGTTGACCCTAGATGTTAGTGTCAACATACACAACTCCCTATATTATAAGGGGCCATTTGCAAAAATTGAATCTATTTTTTTAACAATTTTTTGTCTTAATTGATACAACTGTCGTGGTCCTGGCGGAGAGAGTAGTGCAGTTTTTTTTGTTGTTGTTATTGACAAGGAGGGTCCATTGCATAGGACCATATAGAGCCAGCCAGCGAACCAAAGGGTGCGTGGATTAATATTGTGGATGCTTTATTAATTGCGTTCATATATAGTAACTCGAAAGAATTTAATGCACGAATCCAAAAAAAAATGTCAACAATTGCTGCTTCAAAGAATTGATTTTGTTTGACAGAATTGAATAACAAAACAAGGAATGGAAAACGTTTGCATATAATATGTGCCTCCTAATTAATTTCTGTCATAAAAAAAACAAAAAAAAAAACAGTTCCATTACTTCCATATTGCAGATTGGTTTTCAATCAATTCATATATGTGCATGTTTTTTATATGGAGATGCAAATTAATACTATCGTGAAAGCAATAGAAAGATGCCATGCATGCATGGCCGGAGCAATTTTTTTGGACCGACACCAGTGTCACAACTTTTTTTGGGACATCAATGCTGGTGTCTACCCTAGTCAAGGATAATTAATAATACTCCAAAGTATGAACAAAATGAGTGATCCATGGTCACCACCAATCCCCAATTAGGAACATTGAAGGGGTCAACCTGATACGTTGACAAATTTTAGTGTTCTTAACCCGGTTTTACCGTTATTTAACGGACGTTTGATTTATTCTTATGCGTGAGACGAACATTTTGATATATTTTACACTAAAAATGTTTCACGAGTGATTAGGAAGTTAATTTTAGAAATTGAACAATTTAATAAAAGAAATGATTCAATTTACGTGATCGTTTTTGTAAATGTCGATTTTCCATAACACATACGGGCTTATGTAACATACTACGGAGTAACATTAACCTCCAAATATAAATTTATATTGGGCTTTAAAATCAATTGAATGATTCAATCGAATCTCAAATGTCCAAAAAAACAAAAAAAAAATAGTTGTCGGGCCTCAAAATTATGATAGGACTTTATGTAATTAACTATTACCCATGAAGGTGTGTATGGCTATCCAGCACGTAGGCCTGTTAAATAATAACTTGGTCCCGAATCGGATAGTAGATCTGGCCCATTAGTTTCTTCATGGACTGCGTTTGCCCCCAAATGTAAATTTTTTTGTGGATTTAAGGTCTATGATCATTTTATGGAACTTAGTACATTCTAGCATAAAAATTTGAGCCTTTTACAAAGTACGGAGTATAAAATATCCATATGAAAGCTCATAAAAAATATGAGAATGTTCACATTTTAAATGTAGACTTTAAGAACAAATAACTATAAGTATTACCCTTGCCCGAATTAACCCATGAAAAATAAACAAACTTCACCTCATACTCTAATTTAACTAATGGACCCAAAAAAATCATTCAACAGATTTTTTTGAAGGGCCCAAGCTGATTCACCCGCCAGGGCAAGCCTGTGTGGAGCCCAAAAACAATTTTATTTGCTGAGACTTGAACGTACGAACATTTTAAACAGGATAAAGCTATTTGTACTCCAAGAATTTATGCCCTATTTTGTACACCGCAGAGATGCACCAACATTTTGTGTTGGTGTAATGCTAATTTTTGTTAACGTACCAACACTTTGTGTCAGTGTAAATTTTTGTTAACGCATCAATACTTCGTGTCAGTGTAAATCATCAAAATGTTGGTGCATACCTTTGGTGTACAAATGACGTACAAATTTGGAGTACATGTAGCATGCTCCTTTTAAACAAAGTGATACCCACCTGTCCCAAAAAGTGCTATCCAATTTGTCAAGAGAAATGTATAGTTAAAACGAAAGTGAGAAATACGAGACAAAGTACTATAAAAGGTCCGTGCACTAAAAATATTCAAATTAGTCATTATAGTTAAAATGGAAGCAATTTAATCCCTAAACTATTTTTTGTTCAATCAGGTCTTTCTCTTCAATTACCTTATTTAATACACTCCACCTATTTTCATTAAGAGTATTTTGGTAAACTTTCTCTTTTTTTCAACTCTCTTCAAAAACCAAAAAAATCAAAACGAGAAGATAGTAAAAATTTATCCCAATATATCTTTCATAAAATAAAATAAACAAACAAATGTATATTGTTCTTAGGTAAGGCTAATTTTTTTTGGAACAGAGATTATAGGTAAGAACCACATAACAATAGCTGGAAATACTTGAATGGAAAAACGAAAGAAAAATATTAAACTTGTGATAATGGCATTGGAGATCTCTGTATATGTATCTCTTTCTTAGTATATTATGCCCTTATGAATTAAAAAAACCAGGAGCATATTATTTGAAGAAAGAACAGTTCTTGGGGAGTATCAAGCAAAGATTCATCATTTTCTCCAATGATGAAAACAATATTTAAAAAAAAGTTATCTATCACAACAATATCACAACGATTTTCCCAATTTCCCGAGAGGGAAGCAACGGAAAATGATTTGTAGTGAGTACGGGCGAATAGAAGGGCCACTAAGCAGACAAAAGAGCAGACTTGTGTGCAGCAGCTTCGTCATCTGCTTGCAAGCTCTCGTAGTACTTGACCAAGACTTCCCATCCCTTAGGGCACATAAATCCTTGAGGGGGATTTTCCCCACTTCTCGCATAAGCCCGCATCTGCAGATATGAGTGGGTGCAATTTGAGTTGTAACTTACAATTGAGCATGCATTCCCATGCAGAGCCGATAACGAATGAGAAAATTGGTTGGATCAAGAAAAAGGTTGTTTGAAGATTATTGTCATGTTTCAAATTATCAGATTCTAGCTATTGTGATAGGTTGGTTACCTTGGTTCCTGAAATGAAGAGGAAATCTTTGGCACGCGAAGGGTCAAAAAATGCCATTTCCTTTGCCAGTGTATCATATGCTGCAACCTGCAGAGAGGGAGAAGAATACTTTAAGCATGCAAAATGAATAGAACTCTTATCAGAAATTGTAAAGTTCAGCAAAAATTTCTATTGAAGCTACCCACTCAGAAGCTCCAAAATGAATCAAATCATTAAACAAAACCCTTTAGTTCCTAATTTGGGCTTTGCCTATATATGCCTAGAACCAAGTTGAAAGGCCAAAAATGCAAGGCTCCAGTATCATGCAGGCACTGAAGAAGATAGATTGTATAAAAGCCATAACTTTGTTTCAAAAGTTTCTCATTTTCATGGTTGGGGTAGGGATGGAGCTACATATTAGGGGTATATGGTAAACAACTTTTTCACCCCCAAAACAGATATTTGAAGCCATAAAGCTGCTTGACCATGATAAAACAACTGGGTATTTGGTAAAAAGCCGTGTGAAAGAGTTGTTCAAAGGGCTCTTCCCGCGCAAGCCTTTTCAAAAAGCAGTTCGAATGAAAGTGTTTTTTTAGTACAACAATACTGCTCATATATTATAAAAATTACTACTATTTACCCTTCATATTAAACAATCCCAAAACTCTAGCATCATAAAATTGAACTGTGCATGTGCAAAACTCACTTTTAAAGTTAACAACACACCTAGTAAAATCTCATAGAGTGTGGTCTGTGGAAGGTGAGTGTACATAGACCTTTCCCCTACTCGTAGAGTAGAGAGATTGTTGGAAGAGACCTCATTTTTATAATTTTAAATATGAATGAAAATTTGATAATTAAAATATCTAGTCTTGATAAATAATGGAGATAAAAGAGTCACTTTTGACAATGTTTTAGCTTCACGTACATAATGAACTAGATCAAAATGACACAATTAACTTCTCTTGCTTCTTGCTTTCTATGAAGTTTTGGGCAATAAATGCATCAAGGTTCCAACGAACACAACTTCTATGTTTCTTTTTACAGGGACTTAGTTTGCATACATCTTGACCCTCAGACTCCAAGGGAGTTGGGATTATAATGAGTGTGTTGTTGTAGCTAATGTTGTCGTCCTAATCAATAATGGTTCAATTTGAGGTTTCAATTTAATGTGTTAGTTATAACATAAATAAAATGTCCTTATTGACAGTTTGACACACTCAAAGTTTTGATTCATTTTTTCTTGTAGCAAGCATTTCTCATAATGAACAGTCAACTTGTGCCATATTTAAAGCCCTTGTACGATAAGAATGGGTGGGAGATGCAATTTCAAATATATTTAATTCTACAAGTCTATTCCAGTGACGGCTATTTCCTAATTCATCATTCCTAAATCCTAATTCATCATTGCAGAAGTCACAGAAGACATAAGGGTTCAAAGCCAGTAGGCCTCCTAAGAGAGCTCCAACGGAAATCTATCAGCAATAAAGAGTAATATTCAGTGTACCGAGTATAACATCATTCTCTGAGAGGAAAGAAATCTTAAAGGTTTTGGTTTGAGGAAGTATTTCTTCATTTAGAGCATATCTAATTTTGAATGTTTTCATTCCCCCTCAATGTATTTTGAGGAAAAATTTCTTCTCCTATCTCTGCTTATAATGTAAATGGCATATCTACAATAACTACCATATAATGTTTCTCATTACTGAGGTAAAGGGAAAAAATGCAAAGGAAAATAGTTTTGTTATGTTTTATTTTACCTCAGAAAGGACGAAGCGAACTCAAATTTGATAGACTTTTTTGAAATTTACGTACACATATTTATATTTCTTGGTCTTTAATTTGTATAATGGAAATATATAAATAAAATGGTTTTGAACAATTAACTAAAATTTAAGGTCTCTGGTTTGAGCCAAAATCTTGTTTTTTTTTTCAAATTCCATATCCTTCCATATTTCCAGTCTATTTTCTTTTCCTGACATTTTTATGGTTCCCAGCGGCCACTAGAGTACTCATGAAACTAAGAATCTAAAAAAATTGCACTACACAAGCAGAAGATAATGACTTCAAATAGCTAATACTGCGTAGTAAGTATCCAGGGCATGCAATTAGTTTGACAAACCTACCCTGAAAGGCAAAATATTCAGTTTCTCCAACCCGGGGGCCATGCTTAAAACTTTCTTCCCATGATCAGGATCATATAAGTCCCTCTTCTCTGTGGGGTGACCCATTCCCGCAGGATCACGGCCCACGATGTAGAAGTTTGCACCAGCATTTATTCGAGCCTTAGCATGCCATTGTACTTCTGTTGGTCCAGCATAATGCATTGGTGAGGGAAATATGGCTACAATGGTAGTCTCAGGATCAAGAACTCCGTCTTCTAGAACCTAAACATTGGTAAATTTTCATGGAATATAACAACAACAACAATAACAACAACCCAGTTAAATCCCACAAGAGTAGGGTCTGGGGAGGGTGTGTGTACGCAGACTTTGCCCCTACTCGAAAGTAGAGAGGCTGTTTCCAAAGAGACCCCCGGCTCAACATCGAAAGTTGCATTGCTTGACTAACTGCTACTTCATTAATTAAAGAAGCGCAAATAGTTTAGATATCCATTTTGATTTATTCCATCACACCCCAAAGCCAAAAACAGGTGAAATTTTGGCTCCATCGGAGATGATGGAAAATTTTTTTTTTCATGGAATATGATAAAAGGAATTTAGAAATCAGAAATGAAAAGCCAGATATGAGATGAAATTGCAAAAAGATGCCCGAGTTGAATGACTCCATAATCATGGTGAGGTGGAGTGAAATGACACACTTTTAAATAATGAAGGGACTAAACTACACCAAATTGACAATGAGGGGCTGCATTGAATAACCCAGAGCAAATGAGGAACCAAAACAGTTGTTTTGCCAAAGTCAAAATAATACCTTGCTATGTTGTTCCATACGAATGTCCAATGGCACATCATCAGCCTTTGTGAAACCTCCTAAAGGGTGAAGCAAAAGAATGGGATTTTTGTAACCCATTTCCAGAAGTCGTCTCCGTGTATCATTCATTAGCAAAGCGTGACCATTGTGGACGGGATTCCTAAGCTGAAAGGCAAACACTGCATCTGCCTTGCGGTGCTCAAATTCATCCCGAAGTTGCTGAGGAGAGAGCCTGTAATGATCAAGTCCATCATTATATTTAATAGGCTTTAAGACTTCCAAATCTCCACCAATGAGCCAATTTCCAGCTGGAGTAATCACCTCCTCAACATAAGGTAACCCTGGAGCTGTAGTGCCCCATGTTCTAGCAATTCTCTCTTCTTTGTTATGCTTATATATTTGAATGCTGCAATAGATAAAATGTCAAAATATGAAGCAAGCAAAATCTTATGGCAACAAAACACCAACCCTTGGTGTGTCAGATTGGGGTGCTGGAAAGATTTACATTTTGTTACATTTTTTTATTCTCGTTAGTAAAGTTTTGTCAATGATCTATAAAATGAACAATGCATCCCAATTGAAGAATATGTCTATGCTCTGATTAATCTTGCATTAACATAAGAAATAACCAAGTTGCATACAGAGTATTATGATTGGGATTGCAATTGTGCTGCTATGAACATGAGACAGATATTGAACATTACAATCATATTATAGCATTTATAGTAATCAAATTCAAATGGAACGAAAAAACACAAAATCTTATAGGCCACCATTTCAAGATAGCTACAATCTAGCTAAAACAAGACATAAGATTAGCTTTCTTATGCTTATATATTTGAATGCTGCAATAGATAGAACGACAAATTATGAAGAAACATAGTCTTTTATGGTAACAAAACACAATTCATTGGTGTCTATGTTCTAACATAATCTTACATTGACATAACAAATTACCACGTGACATAGTATCTTCAGGATTACAATTAAGGACATATAATTGAACATTGCAATCACATTATATCAACCGTGAATGGAAAACCTTAAATCATCTTCTTCAAAAAAAACTCACTGGCCACCATTTCAAGAAAATTGTAATCCAACTAGAACAAGACTGAAAGATTAGATCAATTTTTCAGCTCAAACGACAAATAACCAAGTAGCATGCGGAGTATCATAATTGGGGATTGCAATTGTGCCGCAATGAACATGAGATAGCAATTGAACGTTACAATCATACTATAGCAATCAAAATCTCATAGGCCACCATTTCGAGAAAACTACATTCTAACTAGAACAAGTCATAAGATTAGCTTTGTTATGCTTATATATTTGAATGCTGCAGTAGATAGAATGACAAATTTAGAAGAAACAAAGTCATTTATGGTAACAAAACACAACCCATTGGTGTCTATGTTCTAACATAATCTTACATTAACATAACAAATTACCAAGTGACATACTATGTTTGGGATTACTATTAAGGACATATAATTGAACATCGCAATCACATTATATCAACCGTGAATGGAAAACCTTAAAGAGAACTGTAATCTCACGGGCCACCATTTCAAGAAAACTGTAATCCAACTAGAACAGGACTGAAAGATCAGATCTTCATTTTCAGATCAAACGAGAAAACCTAGTTAAATGGTATGCTGACCTTCGAAGAATGGCAATCAAATCACCACCATGGCTAACTAGACCGATATCTTTGGACCCGCCAATCCGTTCCTTAGCCTCGTCATCAATGGCCAGAACAATCGGGATGGACATGTTAACAACGGTCCCATTACCCAATCTCAGGGAATTGAAATGCAAGCTCTGCAGATACTCATCCTCCCGCATGAACCCTCGCAGCGGGCTGGCCCACCCCTCGCTGATCACATGGACCCATTCCACATCGATCTTGGTGAGCTTCACTTTGGGCAGAGACTCGGCCTCCGAAACGATGGCCGCCCTCCGGCCCTCGGGGACCACAAGATCCACCAAGCTACCCCCATCCGCCTCGATCAAAGAAGAGCTTTTTACCGCGCTTGCAGAAATCATCCTCCGGGTGCGAGAGAAAACCAATGGGGCCGACGGGTTCGAATGGAGACAGGGTCTGAGCTTAAATACGGCGGCGGCGGAGTAAAGATCGGGCTTTCTACTGCAATAAAGGCGGGCGGTTCTGGCAGTGGGGGTGGAAATGTGTAGCCTGATTGTGAGGGACATTTCACCGCGGCTTCTTGTTGTTGGGGATCGAAAGGCGGGGATGAATGAGGGATTGGTGGCGGGCGAAGCTGTGGGAGAAACCACAGGAGCGGACTTGCGGCGATTGAGGTTGTGGACATCATTCTTTCACCGCGACAAAATAAAGGGAGATTGGAGGCTGCCGGCTTGGGGTACTGTGCCACCATTGCCCACTTTTTATTTTGTAAAGCCGTTTTTTTCTTTCTTTTCTTGGCCGTCTCTCTTTGACCCACCAACAAATTTGTCCCAATGGAGAGTATTGCTGAGAATGGCATCTTTAATCATTGGGAGATGCTAGGGGTACATCATTTGGTATACCCCATTTGTACACCACCCCCTCCATAACTATTCATTCATTTTTTATTTTTATTTACTTAATTTTTTTTAAATTTTTTACCTATTTAAGTGGTAATGGAGGGGGTGGGGACAAATGGGGTACACCTTTGGTGTACCCCTAGCATTTTCCTTAATCATTCCATCCATTTGGGTAGGAACTAGAGTTGCTTGAGAAGAGATCATATAAATTCTATTTAAAGATGTTCTCAAAAATGTGTTGTGTGTAAGCCAGTTCTATATAAATAATAGCGACATACACTTTTAAATCAGAATAGTTTATTCGATATTATTTGAATTACAAAACAAAAAAGATTACTCTATTTGTAATTAGGAAGTAGGGGTTCAATTGAACTGAACTAATGCAAATTTAGATTGATACGAAAATCATATCTAATATGGAAAAACTTCGAGCATTTACAGACTCTAGAAAATTGAGGCAAAGAAAAATAAGAAGATGCAGGGATGATCTATTTGTAAGAGACAAATAGGGAATAGAGTTTTTATGTTATTCTTGATTGATGAACTTTTTGAAAGGCTTATAGCTTGATTTATTTGACCGAAAAAACGTTTAAATGAGGTGATCACTCTCACCCCCTCCTAGAAAATCATCATGTCCTCGAGGTGGTAGCTCACACCCGTGCTTGTGGATAATAGCAAAATTTTATCCACTCAGTGGAGTTAGCTACATCGATCAATCAATGTTATTGTGCCTTATCATGTATCATATCTGATATGAGATTATCCACTTGATGGTCCCTTTTAACCACTTCTTGCCAATTCTTTCTAATCTAAGGTTCATGTTATGTTTATGGATGCTGGAGAAAAATTGGACCAAATGAGATGTCCACCTACCGATCAAACTTTAATTGACTTGCTTTTTGGGATGGAGTGAAACACAAAGCCAAGCCTCTTCCCAATTACTCTAAGTAAAACTTGGTAATCTACCATGCGACATCAACGATGTCAAACATATTGACTGCGTGAAACACACCCAATTAGTTCAATTACAACAACGTTACCTAAAGCTTGATAATTTGCAACACCTATAGAACCTGATGTACGTATTGGTTCATAATAATCATGCGATGTAAGATCTGGCTTGCAAGCTGACTCATCATCTCTAGTTCGAGCACTCTTATATTCATCCATGACATCAGATCCATGGTGTGCGTCAACATTGACGTGTCTTTAGATCTAATTACATCCTAACAATAAGAGCAAGGGTGGACAATCAATTCTGCCATTATTTGTACAATTGTGTATCCAGGCGTAGGGGACAAACTTGGTGCAGAAAATGGAGCATCAATGAGGTCCCTTATAACTTCCATCATATTTATTCTGACATTGTGTAATTTCAAAAAAACACGAGTCGGCACAAATGAGCAATCACGAACCAAATCTTGTAGTGAGCGAGAGATTTCTATATCAAACGCGATAAGCCAGAATCACAATTAGAGTGTTCTGTACTATGATAGAACAATTGAAGCTTCTTTATAACTTCACGACATGATCATAAGTTATACATACTCATTTATGAACTTTAATTTTCAGATATAAAATAATTTTCATCACATCAAACAATATGTCAAATACAGAATTTATCGTTGCAATAATGAACCCCATATTTACAAAAAATCAATAAGAGCACAAATTAGAAATCATTCTAGCTACAAATCAATCACGTAGTGTCTATATTTTATAAGGTGCTCTTCAAATATCACTAGATATTGGAAAGTCTAAAATTTTACTCCTTAATTCATATCCGATTCGGTAATTTTCAGGAAACTTATCTCTGGTCGATATTCTTGAAGCCCACCAGGAGTACGCCTTTTATGTTTGGGCCGGACTGGTTTATCGGAGTCGTTCCACATATTCTTTGCATCTCAGGTGCTCCCGTTCTAGTTTCTATTGTCCTCTTCAAATCGCGCATTCATCAACACACCTGCATACTAACATATTGATTTGAGTTCCTAGGGATATTTGGCGGGGGTTGTTTAGAATTGTGCGATGGGTGTTCCCGCATTTTACCGGTGGCTAGCCGAGAAGTATTCACTGGTGGTGGTGGATGTGATCGAGGAAGAGCCGGTGGTTATCGAAGATGTCAAAATTCCGGTGGATACCAGCAAACCCAACCCTAACAATATCGAATTCGATAATCTCTATCTCGATATGAATGGCATTATCCACCCATGTTTCCACCCAGAAGACCGAGTACGTATCTTTCTACCTCTTTACTTGTTTTGCCTTGTCCGATTGGCTTTTAACTGAGTGTTTTTAGTAGATTTTTGTTTACCTTTTTCATGTTTTAAGTTTGATTACGCATAAAATATAGTTAGTTTTGAGCGTGATTTAGTTCTTGAAGTTAAAGTGAGATTTTTGTGGTATTGAAACATGATTTTACTTGGCAGAAGGTTTCTCCTCATTGATGTGAACATGTTGGTACTTGTGACATCTCTTATTTGGATATCATTCAACTCTTTGTCATGTAATTTTTGTGTGCAGCCATCCCCTACTACTTTTGAGGAGGTGTTCCGGTGCATGTTTGATTATATAGATAGGCTCTTTGTAATGGTGCGCCCTCGAAAGCTGTTGTACATGGCCATTGGTATGTAATGGGGGATGTAACAGTTTTTGTTCCTCCCATAGTTGTGTATTATTTGATGCAGTATTCTGTAGTCATTCCTGACTTCGTTTGTCTGTAGATGGTGTTGCTCCAAGAGCGAAAATGAATCAGCAGAGGTCTAGGCGTTTTAGAGCAGCAAAAGATGCAGCCGATGCGGTATGCACCATAAAAATGTTCCATGAAGTGGAACCATGGAAGTTAATATAAAAAAGTTAAATTAGGTTAGGTTCCATGTTTTTAAAGTCATGTTTTTAGGCAGCTGAAGAGGAGAGGCTGCGTGAGGAATTCGAGAAGGAGGGTAGAAAGCTCCCTCCCAAGCAGGAATCACAAACTTTTGATTCAAATGTCATCACTCCTGGAACTCCGTTCATGGAGACTCTGTCAATTGCACTCCAGTACTACATCCATCTCAGGCTAAACCATGATCCTGGATGGAGAAACATTAAGGTTGTCTTTTTGTTAGTTTTGGTTTCATTTTTATGTTGTTTGTTATCTATCAAACTATGCGGGTTGTTCTTAATGTTCTACTTGCTACTATATTGTTCTCAAGGTTATACTTTCTGATGCCAATATTCCTGGTGAAGGGGAACACAAAATTATGTCCTACATTCGTCTGCAAAGGAACCTTCAGGGTTATGACCCTAATACACACCATTGCCTGTATGGCTTGGTACGCTTTATACTTCAGTTTACTTGCAAACATTTGGCTGGAACATTTATTTCAAAAATTGCCTGATACAACATTCTAAGAAATATGTCTGCTTGCAATTGATAGGATGCAGATCTAATCATGTTGGCATTGGCCACTCACGAAGTTCACTTTTCTATACTTAGAGAGGTTAGAATTTTATTTTTTTTCAATGTCCTAAGGGTGCAACTTTTATTTTGACATTTAATGGCTGGTTTGCAGATTTAAAAGATAGTACATAGTATTACAATTATGGATATATATATAATGCAGTTATGCATACAACTTTAAAAACTTACACCGGAGTACATCCTTAATCCGTATGGAGGTTGGTATTGTGCCGGAAGCTGCTAGACATTCTAAATGCTCCCATATTGTTCCTAGAAATTGATTAGTGCCTCTTCCCATGAGTTCCATGAATCAAACAAAATTTTCTTCTATGGATTTACTTAAATGTGTTTCACCTTTTTAGGTTGTATTCACTCCTGGTCAGCAAGACAAATGTTTTCTATGCGGCCAAATGGGCCACATGGCTGCAGATTGTGAAGGAAAAGCCAAGAGAAAAGCTGGAGAGTTTGATGAAAAAGGTGATGTGGAAGTGGTGGCGAAAAAGCCTTATCAGGTTAATTATTTTTTCTGATTTCCAATCTTACTATTATTATTTTATGTTCATTTTCAGCTAGGTTACATTGAGTTTCCATTTGTGTGTGAACAATTATAAAATGAACATTACTTCCATTCTCTAAGAGATAATAATGGACAACAATTACTAGTATTATAAATAATGCAATATATATAATGCAATGTATCTCTAATATTGTGAATTGTTTGAAATTTTAGATTATACTTAACACCAGACCCTACTCTCCTTGACACCAACTGGGTTGTTGTACTTAACACCATGTTTTTGCTATGGTTACTTTTAATTTCACTCATGAATGGATTTACTCTTGCAGTTTCTCAATATTTGGACCCTGAGAGAGTACTTGGAGTATGAATTCAGAATTCCAAACCCTCCTTTCGAGATTGATTTTGAGCGTATTGTTGATGATTTTATATTCATGTGTTTCTTTGTTGGGAATGATTTTCTACCACATATGCCCACACTAGAGATTCGCGAGGTTTGTTTATTTGTATTGTTATGGTTTGTCTTCATATGTTGCTGGCATCTTTCTTAGTTCAACATTTTTATGATCTAAATTTATTAGTAAACTAGTAGTTCAGCGAGCCTCAGGTGTAAGTGGCACTTGTAACTCATCATTGCAACTATGGAAACATAAATACCCTCTTAACCCTGTTACCGAGAATTCTAGTTTAGAGTATATATAAAAATTTTCTTCCTATTTGTTTACATGTGCTCAGGGTGCAATAAACTTGCTGATGTGTGTTTACAAAAAGGAGTTTAATTCCCTGGGAGGATATTTGACTGATGCCAGCAAGGTATACAATGTGTATTGAAATTGTAATAAGCTTTGCCTCACTCATTACTATTGGTCTCAAATTCTGTTCCTGCCCTTTTCTTTGTTTAGCCAAACCTTGGCAGGGTAGAACATTTTATACAGGCTGTGGGGTCATTTGAAGACAAAATATTCCAAAAAAGAGCACGCTTGCATCAGGTTTCCATTAAAAAAATTCTTTGTTGAGTGTTTTTTTACATTTAAATTCCATCTTATTTTCATTAATTTGGAGTAGTCACCATTTGCCATTTTGTTATGTTTATTTCCCTGTGTTTTCTTCTAGAGGGACTTGCCTTGTTAAATGAAATCTTACTTGAACATTAGGGTGATGTTTAGTCCTTTTTTTTAAAATGTTTTTGTGGATCCTTCTTTGTTTGCTATTTTCATCAAGATTGCCACTGATTTAATCTCATGTCCTCTTCTCCCCGCTACACCTCCCTAACTTATGTTCAACTTTACTCTTCTTAGAGGCAAGCTGAAAGAATCAAGCGTGAAAAAACACAAAAAAGACGAGATGAGTTGGTGCCCGAATCTGAACCGGAATCTTTGGTTCCAGTTGCTCGGTTCCATGGTTCTCGTCTTGCATCTGGTCCCACACCTTCTCCACATCAACATAGGGCACAATCTGATCATTTTAGGCGTGATAACAAGAATGAACAATCTGTTAATTTTCATGGCGGTCGTAACGGTAACCGTGCTACAAAAGTTGCACGCTTAACATCTGGGGCCACAATAGGAGCTGCAATTGTTGAAGCTGAGCGTAGTCTTGAAACCGAAGTATGTGTTCCTGTTTCTGGAGAGGCAGTTTGAAGTAATTCTTACTCCTCCCATGCTTTAGGGCTTGTATTGCTTACTTATTGAATGTTGATTAACTAATTTGAAGTTTGCATATAACATGGCTATTCCTAACAATGTTGTTTCATTATTATATTGAAGTATTAATATTAGTCTTCCTCTGCTTGACTGATTTGCAATGGTCAACTCACATTTTCTTTTTGTATTTCAGGTTGATGATGCCAAAGATGAACTGAAAACCAAGCTTAAAGAGCTACTTCGTGAAAAGAATGATGTTTTCAACTCAGAAAATCCAGAAGAAGACAAGGTATGGAAATAAATATACTTGGCCAATTGCTGTATATTCATAATTTTGTCCCTTTTACTGATCTTAATTTTACGCTCATTTGCTGTGTTGTTTTGTACATGCCCCTGAGTTCATAGTCCAAGCATAACTTGTTTATTATCAGGGCGTATGAATGTGATCTTGTTTTTACCATTTATTATGCCAATGTTGCTGAAATGAATAAATTGATGCAAGTAGTAAAACCAGGTTCATGGATTTTTAGCTGTCTTTACATCAAATGACACACCATATATGTAGTCAATTTCCTTTATTATCCTCAACATTACCTTAGAGTATATCTTTGTTTTTTATCATTAACATGATCACTAGTTGTTGTGTGCAACACAATGCAAAGATGTTGCTGTCTGCTATGTGCTCAGCACCCTGTCACTGCAGCATGAGTAATTGTTTTTGGATGTTCTTTTTTAGGTCAAGCTAGGAGAGCCTGGTTGGAAAGAGAGGTATTATGATGAAAAGTTCTCTGCAAAAACACCCGAGGAAATGGATCGGATACGAAAGGACGTCGTAAATATCTTGAACTCCCTAGCATTTTTGTAAACACTCTTAGATCAATACATTGCCTGCTAATGTGTTGTAGGCTAGGATAGTTCAAATACGTTTATGATATTTAATATGTGCTCTTGCTTTCTTAAAGGATCTCTACCTCGTTTAAGAGTGTAAGACATTTGTTCTGTGGTAACTTGTCTATTTGAGATCATCAGCATTTTGACAAAAAAGAAAACAATCTGAGAGCTGAACACCAATGGAAATAGGGGTGATAATGAACTAAATGTAGGTTGGGTTTTCTTGTAGGTTTTGAAATACACAGAAGGCTTGTGCTGGGTTATGCACTATTATTATGAAGGAGTTTGTTCCTGGCAGTGGTAACATGTTCTGTTTAGTGCTTATAGTTGTTGACTTGTCCTCTTCACACACACACACACAATGTTCTAAAAGGCGTGGCACGACAGAACGTCCATGCCTAAAGTCTTATTACCCTTGGCGTGAAACACATTTTGTAATTACACACACAAACATACATACATACATACATACATATATATATATATGTATGTATATGTATGTATATGTATAGACACACATTAAAAGTTCTCCAAAACAAGAGGTGACAAGAATATTATATCCGTAATAGTAAACATGAAGAAAGATATGGGTGAGTGTCATAATATGACACCCAAAATGGGTGTCCCTAATCACTTCAACCTTGCCGTACACACACACATGGTAAGGTTCCGTTGACACTGGCCTATGATGCCACTGCCCTTTTGGGGCGTGCTCCGTTTGCAAAATTGATGGTTTCTACCCCCCTTAAATCCCCACCCCAGCCCTCATCCCTTCTTTGCCGAATGGCTACAGTAAGTTTAAACATAATTTTACTCTTTTAATAAACACGATCTCTGCAATTCTTGAAAGTATAAAAAAGTACAAACACCTTATAACACTGTTAATTTTTTTTATATATTAGATTACATTTTAAGTTTGTAACACACAAATGTACATACATACTAGCACATGCTCTTCTACATGCACATTTTAGCTTTAGATGAGTTGTGCAGCGTTACTGCAGCATTATTTCTCAGCATGTTTGAGGATTCAAACTGTGATTGTCCAAAACAAATTTCTCCACGGCTCTCCCAAAAACACATTTGGTGTACAAGGATAAATCTTCAAGTAATTTTGATAGGACCCAGGAATTAATAAGGAAAGAAATGATACTGAATTAGCTGGCCTGATTCGAGATGGGCAAAATCTTCAAGTACATACGTGATAATAAAAACATCTGCCAGACAACAATGAACATAGATGTGCTATTTATAGTACTAAACAGTTAAGAAACTACTCTATAATTCTTGCTAGATAAACTGCTAGTAACTGCCTTCCACTGACCTGTTAGGAACTGCTACAAACTGCTTTGAACGGCTGGAATCGTAGCAAATCTTTTACACAATAACCATTGTACTTTTTTCTTGATGACATGAGGTTTTTTCTTTACAGGTTTTATCCTTATCATTATGCACCTTTCGCTTCGGATTTAAAGGATCTCACAGGACTGAATATCAGCTTCACATTAGGATCCCCATTTAAACCATTCAACCAACTGCTGGGTGTATTTCCCGCTGCAAGGTTTGTATCACTGCCTTTATGCGTTAGTCTTTTCTGAGATATGGAGTTTTTTAAAGGTTATATTTGGCTTATTTGCAGTTCACATGCGCTTCCTGAGCAGTACCGGAAATTGATGACAGACCCAAACTCGCCTATCATTGATTTTTATCCCACTGGTATTTTTGTTGTATGATGCATTCATTATTTCAATGCCATGAGACATATTTTCACTTCTCAATATGGTTTGTATATTTGTCAGATTTTGAAGTGGACATGAATGGAAAGCGGTATTCATGGCAGGTATTGGCTAAAAATATACTGCTACATTTTCTGATTGAGTGAGAGGATATCTTCTGTCGTGTTATATCAACTTCTTAATCATATTATCAGAAACACCATAATCCCAACTAGTTGGGGTTGGCTACATAAAAGTGATAGACTTGTACTCCCTCTATTCTTTAGTATGTGTCGATTTGTAGGAAAGAAGTGTTGTCACATAAGTGCAGCTTTCATATATCACTAATGACAGTATTAATTGCTCATTTTCGGATACTGCTCAGCAATGTTAGTAAGGGCATTCTGCCTTGCGCCATATGGCATGCCTTTAGGCTTTTTTCGAGAGCTTAAACCCTGAGGCTTGGGGCAGTGTCCAGGTCTTCAGGAAATTATGCTTAAGCCTTAATTTTGTTTTGAAAATCTTAAAAATAGTAGATACATACCAACAAGACCAGTCAAGCTTTTTAAAACATCAGCCTTGTGACTTATGACTTTTGATTTGACAGTCTCCACTTGTGTATTTAGCTTCCATGTTTTTTTTTTAAATTTTCTTTGTTTTTAAATAACTTTCATCCATGTCTGACTATCCACAACCAATTCCACGTTATTAATTAGTTCTTTAATTCATTTATTTGCATCGATTTTCCATTTAAAATAATGAAATATTTTTGCTTGTGAACACGAAATGCCTTGAGGTCTACACCTTACACTCTAACAACAAAATGCCTCAACCCTGCCCTACGCGTTTGAAAGTCACGAACCATGGTTAATGTTTCATTAGCTTAAACAAAAATTCTTAATGTGTAGGGCATTGCAAAACTACCATTCATTGATGAGGCCCGGCTCCTTGCAGAAGTTGCAAAGATTGAGCATACATTAACGGTAGGTTTTGTATCTTCTCGAAGTCACATAAATTTTACTTAAGTGAATGTAATTTAAACACATTGATGCAGGATGAAGAAGTACGAAGAAACAGTGTGATGTTTGATATGCTATTCATATCGTTATCTCATCCTCTATCTCCATACATCTTTTCTCTTGACAATCGCTGCAAACAGTTAACAGACAAGGAAAAGGTGGAAGTAAAGGAGATAATTGACCCAGGAGCAAGGTTCCTGTTGCCATATTTGTTGTTAAATGAAAATCATCAGTTCCTTGCTTTATTCTTTAAATCTATAAGTAGTTTTTGAATGCTAGAAGCTTCTATACTTGTCTTTGATTCCTGAAACTGTGAATTAATTTGGCATATCATTGTTTCTACTCTGATTGATTGTCAGTGGCGGGATGAATGGTTTTATATCCCTTTGTGCGGGAGATCCTTGCCCTACAATTTTCAGATCACCTCTTCAAGGCATGGAAGATATTATGGATAACCAAGTCATGTAAGAAGTTTGTCCTTTTCCTTTTAAAATTATTTTGGTTCAAAAGACACAATTGGCCTGAGTAGGTAAGATACCTAAGATTGTTAATTTACCTTTGCATTTTATGCTTTCAGATGTGCAATATACAGGCTTCCAGATGCTCATAAGCACATTACTCGACCTCCAAGAGGGGTTATTTTCCCCAAAAAGGTATTCATTGTCAAATTATTATGATTATAATAAGTTGAACATGATTCTTATAGGATTACCATTAAGGGGCTGTTTACATGGTAGATTTTGGTGGGGTTTGGAGGGGAAGGCTTTGGAGTGCTCTCAGTCTATATTTTGATACATGTTTGAGATTTTTTAAAAGTTGAAAGATTTACATAATGTGTAGACTATACTCCATAACATTTTAATCATCTTTTCATTTTATGAAACATTCTACGGAGTATTAATCAAGAAACAGATTATGCCTCCCAACGCTCCTTCAAATCATCCATCCAAACAGATACTTTATTGTTCTATGAATCTAATGTCATTTTGGCTTGTGTTTCTTTAGAATGTATTTAAGCAGATTAAGCACATTCTAGAAACATTTATTTACTCAAAAGCCTTAGAAATTAGATAGTTTGTACCATTTGGTTTAAATGCTACTCATTCAGGTTCTATTTATCATGGATATTTACCAACTTCTTGAATACCTAATTCCCTACACAATTCTTAGAAATACTTCAAAGTTTGTACCATTTGGTTTAAATGCTACTCACTCAGGTTCTATAAATCAGGGATTACCTACTCGAATACCTTCACAATTCTTAATAATACTCCATTTGTCCCTGTTTAATATTCCGGTTGTCTTTTCACATGAAGGCTATGAAAGATGAAATTGTGTGGTTGAGATTTATGCAGAGGAGTGAAATAATATGGATCCTGATAGTCCACATGATTTTTTCTTGACAAGGAAATATAAGAAAGGGACAAAAGGAGTTACAGTTTGCATGTGTTTATCATTTTTCCCTTAGAGAATACAAAGTAGTCCTATGTACAAAATACAAAATTATTAAAGTGAAGGGTATTTTGGGAAGAAATATACCCCGTATTTATTTCCATTAAAAGCATTAAAAATGATCTATAAATTGGATCAATCCTTACCGAGGGGATGCAAAATTCTATCTGCAGCTAGATCTGTATTTAGACTGGCACACGATTCATTTAATAATGTATACTGTATATTTCTATTGCAGAGTATTTGAGACATCATTTTGATCTTTGTGTGATCCTTATGTTTGCAGACTGTGGGGTTTGGTGATGTGAAACCTGATCCTGTACTTTGGCATGAGGATTCCGGAAGGAGACATTCGGATAATGGAAGGTAAAAACTTCATCTCAATGGTTTTGATTGCTATTGTCTTTGGATATGAGACATTTCTTCTTGGGGGAAGTATCTCCTCTGTGATGCAAGATTTATTGTTCTTTTATGTAATTTATAATTTGCATTTTGCAGACACAATATTCCAGGAGCTATACGTGATCGACAACTTGCAGATGCTGCACATCGGCTTGTAGCTAATAGTTTACAGATAAAAGGAGGCAGTGGTAGGGGTGAGTATGTCGATCATAGATATTCACTACCACCTACATCCTACCCGGGTGTATATGGTCCACCTCTGCAATACCCCTACCAATCAGACATATATAATAATGGTCACGAACACACCTGGGTTGGACCTAGTTCAAGCTATTCAAATCCAACACCCTTGCAAGACCCATATTATCCTCATCATTTGGCTGGGTCCCACAGGGGGTTCGTCCCTCATCACGAAAGGGATTATCATCATAGACCGAGAGGAGGGTATTATGCCCCAGGTGGCGTAGACCCTTATCGTTCACATGTGAACCCGCATCCCTTCCATCCAAGCCCTCATATACCACCACCACCACCACACCAAAGTGAATACTACAGCAATGCAAACTATCAACCTTATGATCCATGGGTAGGCGGTGGGGTATCCCCACACCAGAGCAACCCAAGGGATGATAGTAGAGGAGGATATAGTAATAAACGCACGCACAATTCCATTAATCGATATGCACCTTTAAGTAGGGGTTCAAATAGACAACCTCCACCTGACTATCGACACTAGATGAGTGCAGTCCTTTTTTTTCTTAGCTTTGAGGATCTCAGCTAACTTTACAGTCTGTAGTTGGGTGTTATACAAAAAATTCTATGTTGTCTATGTTGACACTTGTATCCAGAGTACCAAACGCAGTAACCAAACTCATGCGGGTCCCATTTGAGAATAGTGAGACCCACATAAGTTTGTTTCTATATTTGGTCATGTGAGCACATCGAAGTGTGTCGTATTGGCTCCTCGGGAGAACTTGGTGTTCCTCTTGCTCTACCCAAACGTATACGAACCCATTGTGAAAGGAATATGGAGCAAGCCAAAGCAGAAGTGATCTTTATCGTGTTGCTTCATGCTATTACAAGTATAATCTATATCTTCTGCTTGACTTTGTAATTGTATCATAGTGTGTTGTTTTTAAATCAGTTATATACATTCTTTTTTTTTCGTGTTGTTAAATTAAGTTTACTTACTGTAGTAAAAAGCTGGGTTATTTGTTTAAGAAAAGTATTTGTAGTGTTGGATGATGAGTTACTTTGAACCAGATGTTGGGTGTTGCATGATGAGCAAAACTTGCTACCCTCTTGTTGTAAACTTGTTCTGTTTTATTTTGTTCTTTGGTGGGTTTCCAATACAAGAGATGTCTTTTATAGATATACTCCTTCACTTTTTTGAGTCACACAAAAAGATTCCATGCATTCAAGATAAAAATGCCAAATGTCAGAACTCAAGACTTCAAGGAAAAAATAGGGAATATAAAATTGCATGGGTGAAAGTCAATTATAAAATCATTAGAGAACTTTGTATTATACTCTTTTGACCCTAAAAATATTAAATAGTACTCCCTTCGTCCCGATTTAAATTGTTATTGCTTACATAGTTTGACTGAAATTATTTTTAATTTATTTTATTTGAAAATTAGTACTTTCTCCATTCAAATTAAATTACATGTTTATTATTTACATGATTAAATTTTATTCACTTTATTTTTTTAGGTAAAAAGTTTGGTTTAAGTTTAGTCATGTGAATAGTAAATAGATGTTTCCTCTGTCCTAGAATATTTGTCCACTTTTATTTTTACACACCATCCAATACACTTCTTTAATTCATTTTATCTTGTAATTTGTATATTAAAAAATTATAGAAATTATACTCCGTATATTAATAATCTATATGTTAAAACAAATCAAACTAGATCACACATGATTATATTTAGGCTTACACATTGAGAGAATTTGATGAGTCAAAGTGCTTAGATGAATAGTTCTAAAAGTCAAAAGTGGACGAATATAGCGGGATGGAGGGAGTAATTTAAAACGAGATGAATAGAGTAACCTTGTTTAATTTTGACAATACAAAATAAAATGAGATTTTTTTTCACTTTTGATACCAAAAAAGAAAATATTTTTTATATAGAGGAAAAATTATTTTTTAGTTTCCTTATTTCGACCAATTTTTTAGTTTCCTTATTTTGAACAAATTACTTACTCCTTCTGCCTTAGATTTAATTTTCTATTGGGTATTTATTATTCACAAAGTCAATTTTTTTTATTTTTTGAATGCTATTGACTCTATTACAAGGTGGTATTTATTTATACTATTTTCAATCTAATGACACATAAAGACCTCATACTTTGGCCTATGTTGAGGCTCAAACTTGGTAACTTTCTCATGAATCTTGGATAGTAGGCTTCCTACAACTCAAGCCAGAGAAGTTAGTCATTTTTTCTATTTTCATTACTAATTTGATACGGGGTAAAATAATATAGTCATGTACTCCGTAACATTTTATTTTGTAGTTCTGATGTAATTTTTTAAATATGTGAATTTTATTTTTCATTCTACCCTAATTTTTAAATAAATTATATTGAAAATAACTTTAGTCAAATATCGTAAAATCATCTCTAATATTTATCTCAAATACTCCCTCCGTCCCAGAGTATTTGTCCACTTTCATTTTTGCACACCATCCAATTCACTTCTTTAATCCATTTTATCTTGTAATTTGTATATTAAAAAATTATAGAAATTATATATTAATAATCTATATGTTAAGAAAAATCAAACAAGATCACACATGACTATATTTAGGCTTACACAATGAGAGAATTTGATGAGTCAAAGTGCTTAGATGAACAGTTCCAAAAGTCAAAAGTGGATGAATATAGTGGAACGGAGGTAGTACTTGATAATTTACTCTCTCCATCCAAAATTATTCGGTCTACTTATAGTTTGGAGTTGTCGATAAATTTTTTTCTTACGTATTTTTGTTTATCATTTGATAAAACAAAATAAGTGTATTACTAATTATTTTTAGAACTTTTGATATAATTTAAAAATTAAAAGTGATATATATTTTTTTATTTTTATATCAATTTTTAAATTAAATTTATTTTAAAAAAGATAAGATGATTTGTTCAAATAATTTGGGAAGGAGAAAATATTTTTCAAACTCAAATAATTTGGGAAGGAGGAAATATTATTGTCCTATTAAGAGCATCGACCGTGGCGCGTGGATTTTGCCGCTGCCACGCTGCCACATCATCAATTTTTATAAAATGTCTGGCAAGGCATGGACAATTTACCATGCTTTGCTTTCCGTGTGCGTGTCAAATGCTCCTCTTTTTTTTTTTTTTTTTTTTTTTTTTGCTTTTTTCATAAAATACAAGATTTTTTAAAAGATGTAGAAAGATGTTTTTAAAAAAAATAAGAAAAATGATTTTTAATAATTAAAATATGTCAAAAAAAGTTTGAAAACTGATAAATCAATGACTTGTCACTGCAAGACATGCCACTCTACTTGTCACACGTTGATTGAATTTTTTTTATTGATTAAAATGTACTACGTACATAATATTTTTTTGAAAAATGCTAGGGGTACACCAAAGGTATACCCTATTTGTCCCTCACCCATCCATAACCACAAAAACAAAGTCAAGACACTAAAAAAATTAAATAAATAAAAATTAAATAAAATTGGATGGTGAAGAAAGGGGCGGAGACGAATGGGGTACACCACACTATTGGTGTACCCTAGCCTTCCCCAATATTTTTATACTTGCCTATGCTCGGATAATATCTTCTGTGAAAGGGAGGGGTGAGTGGGGCACGGTGAGCAAGAAATACCGAAATACTCTGTAGTTAGGTGTATCCCAAACTCACTAGTCAGTAACTCAGTATACCCTCAAACAAACACCCCTTTTTGATCTGCAGCTTCGGAAATTCGACGAGCTCGATCTGGGGGGGAGCATTAATAATGGAGGGAACGGTCCGGTGCTCCGCGAACTATGTCCCGCTCACTCCGATCAGCTTCTTGGAGCGCTCAGCGGTGGTGTACGCCGATAATGTCTCCATCGTCCACGGCGCTCGCCGGTTCACTTGGAGACAGACCCGCCGGCGGTGTCTCGCCCTCGCTTCTGCTCTGTCTCTCGCCGGAATCTCCCGCCGCGATGTCGTGAGTGGTTCCGCCCTTCTTAGCCCTTCAACCGATTTTCATCTTTGAATTCAATCCTCTCTAATATTGAGAATATATTATCCCTGAAGGATTTCTTTATTGAAAATTAACTTTAAAAATTACGGAAGATTAAATTTTTAAAACTAATTGAAGATTTTCCCCCCCCAATTATTGTATATTTCTCCGTAGTATTTTCAAAATTGACAGTTTTCATCTTTTTCTTTCTTTCTGGTTTCTAATTCATAGCTAACCCATCTTTCGGTTGTCCTGACATCTGAGTTCTGAATCAATAAAAAAGATTGTTTTTTTTTTGAGCTATTAAGTTTGTGGTATTTGATATTTAAAAATTATTTCATGATCGGTCTTGAAGATTATACTTGGAAAACAATATTGGGGTCAAAAGCCTAATTATGATTTATGAAAGTAATATCTTACATTTGGGGACTATGTATTGGAAAATCCCATTTGTTTATGGTTTAGTTTGTAGATTGCTCATAGTGGTACTGCTTAAATGTGTGAGCAGGTTGCTGCCCTGGCTCCAAACATTCCAGCAATGTATGAGCTTCACTTTGGAGTTCCAATGGCAGGGGCTGTCCTTTGCACTCTCAACACCCGCCACGATTCATCAATGGTGGCTACTCTGCTCAGACATTCACAGGCCAAGCTCATATTTGTAGATCACCACTTCTTTGACATTGCCAAGGGAGCCCTTGAGATTCTTCTATCCAGCTCGTCGAATTCCAAGCTGCCTTCCATGGTCGTAATCCGCGACGGTGTTGATGACCATGACCGAAGACCGGCGTCCACCCGAGAAGGATGTTTGGATTACGAGTCGTTCTTGGATGGCGGGAGTAGCGATTTCGAGATTGTGTGGCCAAATGACGAAATCGACCCCATATCTCTGAACTACACTTCGGGCACGACTTCTAGCCCTAAAGGAGTTGTTTATAGCCACAGGGGAGCCTACCTGAACGCTCTCGCCACCGTTCTCCTCAACGACATGACATCCATGCCTGTCTACTTGTGGGTTGTCCCCATGTTCCACTGCAACGGGTGGTGTCTCACGTGGGGGGTGGCCGCGCAGGGTGGCACCAACATCTGTCTCAGGAGTGTCACTGCAAAGGGCATATTCGACTCGGTCGCAGACCACCGCGTGACCCACATGGGAGGTGCGCCCACTGTCCTGAACACGCTAGTAAACGCGCCCCCGGGAGTGAGGAGGCGGTTTCCGGAAAAAGTCGTGGCCATGACCGGCGCTGCACCGCCGCCGCCCCACGTCCTGTCCGAGATGGAAGCTCTAGGGTTCGAAGTGGTCCACTCCTACGGTTTGACCGAAACGTATGGTCCGGGGACCATATGCACGTGGAAGCCCGAATGGGACCGTTTACCCCCCGACACGCGGGCCAAACTCAAGGCGCGCCAAGGGTTGAACCACATTGGGATGGAAGGGGTGGAGGTCAAGGACCCTTTGACAATGGAAACCGTCCCCTCGGACGGGAAAACCTTAGGGGAAGTGATGTTCAGAGGGAACACAGTGATGAGTGGGTATTTCAAGGACTCAAAGGCAACACAGGAGAGTTTGAGAGGGGGGTGGTTCAGGAGTGGGGACTTGGGGGTGAAGCACCCGGACGGGTACGTCGAGTTGAAGGACCGGTCGAAGGACATCATCATTTCAGGGGGGGAGAACATCAGCACCATCGAGGTCGAGGCGGCGGTCTCCGGCCACCCGGCGGTTCTCGAGGCGGCCGTCGTCGGCCGGCCGGACGACCACTGGGGGGAGACGCCGTGCGCGTTCGTCAAGCTCAAGGACGGGTTCGACAGCGTCACGTCCGATGACATCATCAGGTTCTGCCGGGATCGGCTGCCGCGCTACATGGCTCCGAGGACTGTGGTTTTTGGTGACCTGCCCAAAACTTCCACGGGGAAGACACAGAAGTTCCTTCTCAGAGAGAGGACCAAAGCCATGGGAAATCTTTCAAAGGGCAGTAGTAAATTGTGAGGTACTGTCAATGTAATGTAACATCTGGGTAAAATTGATTGTAATAATATTATATAGAAATGGATTATATGCAGTTGAAGCATTGTGTATTACTTTTAACTTTCATTATTTATGGAAATAATGTGTCTATTTTCTGTTTTAAGAAAAGAATTATCGATTTTAAGAAATCCTCTTTTATATATGTTGATTCTGTTTTGTTGGAATGTGTGATGATGTAGTAACCAGAATCATTTGACTGGACCATGAGAAACTTAAGTTGAATCACATTAGAAAATTAAAAAATAGACCATAAGACACTTAAAAATCACCTCTCTAACATGTGTTTTTTAAAGTCACCTCTTGAACTAATACTACGGATGTTTTTAAAAATCACGTTTTATATTACATATACTCCATATTATTTTGAGGAAATGTGATTTTATTAAATAAAGTGAATTTTTGGAATTTTTTTGAATTCTTTTCTTAAAAGATTTTTTTTCAAAAAATATTTTTTAATGGATTATCTTCTTCAAAGTTTTTAAAAAGTTTATCATCTCATTACGTGTTCTAAATTCTTTTTTATAGTAGAATGTGGTTTTTTGAAAATTGAAAACAAAGTTGTTTTTTTTCAAAATACTTTAAAATGCGTTTTTTTAATGAACCCCATAAAAGAAAGTGTGAGAGTATTTATTTATAATTGAGTTAAATAAAAATAAAATAAAGATTTTAGCGAACAATGGAGTAAATTCCACTCGTGGTATAATATTTTATGTGATGACATACATCAAAAGTAACTAAGACCGAACTTCTCCTCTGGCTTGAGAGGTAGCAAGCCCACTCCTCAGGTCAGGATTCATGGGGAAGTTCACCCAAGTTCAGAAAGGGGACCTTCTAAATTAACTCCTCCGTATTTCCCCTAAAATAAAAACAATTGCTGCAAAATTCTGAGAATTTCAAACCGACCCCTTCTCCGCCGTCGCAACGGTTCCCCGAAACGGTGGCGCTGCTCACTCGCACTCTCCACTGCAGTTACTCACTTATCGGCAATTTCCACTGCATTTCTTCCTCTCCCTCTCTCGTCCTTCAGTTCGTTTTGAAAGTTGTCTACGAAAGGTATAATCGTATTCTCTCGATTCATTTTTTAGTCTCTGCTATTCCATTAATTTCCTGCCCGGTTTTTCGTCGATCTTTTCATCACTTTCATAAATTTTGGTTGGATGAAGCTTAGATTGCAGTCATGTTCATATCGATTATGCGAGACAGGCTATTGCATTGCATGTATAGGTCGGAGATGATGTTCTTACTTGATTCTACTTTACCTTTTAAAAAATTGTTATGTATTTAGATCCGGATAAACAATGTTTATTTCATCAGATTGGCATTTTAAGTAGTGGAATAGTTAATGGTAAGAGGAGGCTGTTGGTTGAAAGAGTTTAATTTTTGTTGATCTTTTTTGTTTCAACTGTTGGGATTTATATGATTTGGAGCCCGGCCATAGAATTTTGCAACTATCTGAACTTTCAATTTTTTTGGGGGCAGAAATTGAGTTATAGAGGATAGGGTATTAGGGTTTGCAATTTAGAAATGATTATCTGATGAAAGAAAAGTTGTATTTTGTAAAAGTAGAAGAGTTAGTGCTCTTACTGGATTTAACATTTTTCTGTTTATCATGTTCCAGGGCATAAACATGATTGGTTCTTTACTCACTAGAGTGTTTATGTATGTACTCTATCCATATAAGAATCGTCTTTGCTGATTTAGAGGTTGCAGAAATCGCAGATCCTTCAATCTATTGTTGTTTTTTTTAATTACAGATTAATCTTTGGTTATGCTTATCCTGCATATGAGTGCTTTAAATCTGTGGAAATGAACAAGCCAGATATTCAGCAACTTCGTTTTTGGTGCCAGTACTGGTAATATGAAGTGCTTATTGAAACCTTCAAGCATGCCTACTTATATCACTATATTAGCATTAACCTTCCTCTCCAAATTTTCAGGATCATAGTCGCAATAATGGCAGTTTCTGAAAAGATTGGTGATGCCTTTATTTCTTGGTAAAGTTTACGGATAGACATTCATATCAATCTACTGTATTTGGCATTCACGCTTCCTTTTTCAATATTTTGGATCTTTTTTGTATTGTAGGATTCCAATGTATAGTGAAGCTAAGCTGGCATTCTACATATATTTGTGGTTTCCAAAAACCAAGGTTAAATGCCCTCTGTTTATGCACAAATTTCTCATATCATTATCCAATTTTTTCATTTTCATGTTATAATGATTTTTCTGGACCATTTAGGGAACAACATATGTATATAATTCATTCTTCAGACCATTGGTTCTAAAGCATGAACATGAAATTGACCATAACCTATTGGAGTTGAGGATTAAAGCTGGAGATATTGCACTTATGTACTGGCAAAGAGCGGCTAGTTATGGTCAGACCAGAGTGTTTGAAATCCTGCAGTTTATTGTTATGCAATCAACTTCATTTGGATCATCTCCCTCTGCACAGGTATGAACTCGGGCAAACTTTTAGTTTATGAAATTCTTGCTCTCTAATTTCTTGTTAATCTGCCACATCAATGTACTTTAATTGAAATCACTTTGTTGGCAGTTTTTTTTTCCTGAATAGATATGTTCTAAAGAACCCTTTCAGTGGGTGATAAGCTTGGGAGTAGACATTTTTGTTTGGTTTGTGCATTTTGACCAAACCAAGCTGAATTATCCCAAACCAACATCGTAATATTTGTAAATTGCGTTGTACTTTGGTAATGGTTTTTTCCCAAACCGTATTAACACGAACCAACCGAAACCTATTCATACTAATCTGAACAAAAAATAACACCGTAAAGCTCCAAAGAAAAAACCAAAACAACAAAAAATCCTAACTGGACCTAATTAATTTTGGTTATAACCTGGAATCTGTTTTTCTAACTTGTTTTAAGCCAAAGCAAACCAAAATACGAAAAAAAAAATCAACAGAAACCCATAATTTCCTTCCCCTTAGTTAGGCTTCCCCTTGACTGCATATGTTTTTTAGTGTGATTTTACCCTTCCTATGCTTCACTCCACTAGACCACTACTCCCAGGCCACATTTAGGTCTTCTGCCTGCCTAGTGGTTTACAAAACATGATAATGAGAAGTCAATCAAACCCATTTGTACTGCTACTTTGTTTACCTAGTATGATTCAACCTCCACTGGGGTCTTATGGGGTGTGCAGACTTACCCCTATTTTATTTATAAAAAAACAGAGACATAAGAAAAGGATATTTATTGTGCCATTTTATCTAGTTCATGATTTACCTGATGCTTAAATATTGTCAATAATGACTCTCATCCATTGGAAGTAGTGGGTTGTTGTTAGGTAGCTTGTTTGGAAAAAAAGTTGGAAAGTTGAACCATACTCTTTCATGAATGTATATCTAACCATATGGAGTGTGGGTTTATTTCTTTGTGTTGCAGCCACAAAAGCAAGGCAACACTAATACTTCGTCAACCCAAACACCCATAGCTGTGCCTGTAACAACAAAACCAGAAAATGAAGAAATAAGTCCTCCTCTTGTTACAAGTGAACCTTCAACTGAGCATAAAAAAGATGCAGGAGAAGGGGCCCCACCTTCGGAACCACAACCAACAGCTCCACCCACCCCTTCCAGTGACAAAAAAGCAACACTAAAAGAACTCATCCTCACTGAGATATCAGGAAAGGCTTCAAGCTCTGGAGGAGGTGAACTTCAACTGGTAAGCACAAGTGCAAAGGCCACTGCAGTTGCAGAAGCTCTCCCCGAAAAAGGCCCTCGTCGTTCTAGGTTCCGCAAGAACCGTACTGCTGCCCAATGACATTTCCCTAAGTTTTTTCCTTCATACGGTGTACATTTTTTTTTGGTTTTTATAAATGTGTACTTAATAGTCAATATTGTATTGGAGAACTTATCCTAGAAACATAACACTTGTATCTGTTTGGAATTATCATCCTCAAGCAATAATGCATGACACATCATAAATCAGTATGGATTATGAAACATTCAAAAAAGGAAATTAAAGGAGAAACATTATTTCAAAAGTTGAGTAGTAATTTAGTGAGACTTCTTCCTGGAGAAAATCCCTCCAATGGCCATGAGTGGGATGAGTACCGGCTTCTTCTTCTTCTTCTTGAGGGAAGGATGCCTCTCCAGCACGACATTATCATCTTCCCTGGCCGGAAAATGATGGCGACGCGAAAAGCTGACGTATTTTTTCTTCTCGAACCTCATGACATTGTCACATTCGATGATTTCTGGAGACGACTTGTTAAGCTGCAGATCGATCATCGCGGGGGCCTCAATGAACTTAAGGTCCTCTGCCTCGGATTCGTGCCTCTGGGATTGTTGTTTGAGCAGGTGGAGTTCTGTCTTTGTCCGCCTGAGCTCGTCCTGCAAAGAGGAGAGACAGGTAGCCATCACAAAGCTCTCTTCCTTTGCCTTTTGCAGCCTTTGCTTTGTCTCCTCTAGCTCTGCCCTCACACTGCTCAGCTTTGGTGGAATTGCCTCTTCCTTCTGGAATTGAAACAAAACAAAGAAAGTTTCAGTTAATGATTCTGTTAAAAGAGAACTAACTCAATCAAAAGCTGAATGAATAATAACCTGGTGGAGAGAGGTGTTGTTGGGGTAGAGTCGATGGGCAAGAAGGGTGTCGCCGAAGAGCAACACGGCTTCCTTGACTGACCGGAAGGGGGAGCTGGTGTCGATCTCCGCCGCCTTTCGGATCTCCATTGTCGTCCTCAGGCCGCCACTGCCGCCACCGCCGTCAGCAGATGGTGCTTCCATGTATGTGTGCATGCAGGGCGTGTGGATGGATATGATATTAATATTTCAAGTATTTATATATACCGTGAAGATGGGAAGTTGGTTAGAGTGGTGTTTTCGATTAGCATTGGATGAAAATGGTGGGAGAGCTATAGTAGGCTAGGCTAATAAGAGAGAAGAGAAGGGAAGAAAAAAGGGGGAGAATTGAATTCGTTTCTTGGCGTCCACTTCAACACTGTGTGGTATTCTTTGTTCATTATCTGATCTGTTAGCTAAATATGTGACACAATTTCTGTTTGTGTATTCCGCCGATCGAATATAAACCGGTGTGACACTCCACCGGTCTCCCCAACCAATTTGGACTTGCCACTTCCACCCTCCATTTCGTCCCCACCATTATCTTTTTTTTGCTTACTCCCAATTTTTTTTCCTTAACTTCCACCCTCCATTTCGCATTTTTTTGTTCAAAATATCGAACTTAAAATACCAATCGAATTTTGGGTTCCAATTTGAGGACTATGGGTCAGGGACGAAGGGAGTACTCTGTAGTTTTCACACACTTTAAAGTTTAAAGGACCTCTAATTTTAAGAAGAGTTATAACTTGAATCTTCTTCTTATGTTTAGAATCGATAAACTTCAATGGCTTTAGTTTATGTTTGTTTTTCATTAATCAATTGATAAAATGATATATTTTTATCATCATTTATTTATTTTATATCACTTTTGATTCAGTATATAACTTGTATTAATTTTTTATAACAAATTATAAATAAGATCATTTTAAAACAGATAGAACTCTAAAAAAATGTTATAGAAGATTTTTATAAAACGTAGCGAGTATTTTTTTAGATTAACTATTGATGAGTTATATAGTAAGAATTTTGATTGTTAATTAATGAGAGATTTAACGAGAACCAATCAAATGAACTCTTTAACAAGAAAGTTAATCTTATCTCATCAGTAGATTGGAACAATTTCCGATTCGAGTCCTCGTGGAGTATGTTTTGATGTTTTTTTAGTTTAAATAAAAACCCACGGAGTACTCTATAAAAAAAACACTTTTTTTAACAACCTCTACTAGTTAGCTTCGTTTAATAATCTCCTTTTAGTCACAAACTTACCTAATATGTCGGCCACCGGCACCGCCGCCAGCGTCGTCGGACCCTTTCATGTCCGGCGACCGCTGACCAAGATGAAATCACGGCAGCGGGTGGCAATGGCCGTCCGGTCTGCCGTCAGCCTCGGCGAGGCTTCGATCCTGACTAAATTGGAGAAGGACTGCGCCACCCCTCTGCCGGTCTTGCGCCGCGTGGCAAATGCCATGGCCGCTGATGTTCGTTCTGGCCTCTCCGTAGATGGCGGCAGCGATCTGAAGATGATTCTCAGCTATGTTGATACTTTGCCGACTGGGTAACCATATGCCCTACTCTAAGTTGCACTGTTTTTTCCTTAATTATGTCTACTTTTTAACCTCTTCATATCTCATGATGTTCACTAACTACAAAACAAGATTCTTCAATTTGTGTGTGTTTTTTTTTACTTCAATTACTTACATATGATCATCATACATGTATTCATTATTACTCTGCATTGTCATGTGTTCAAGTTGGGAGTTAGTCATGTTTCACCCACCACATAATTTTCTTACCTTAGGTTTTAAGGTTTGAACTCTTGCTTTGTTCTTGCTGATTTTTAAAAATTAGCATCTGTACTTCTAAGCAGTGGCGGACCTAGACTACCCAATGAGCGGTGTCAAGAGTAAAAGATCGAGAACTTCTCAGGCGGAATATATAGGCATGATAAAGAGTTAGAGAGCAACGTCTCTAAATTTTCTTTAAAAACATAATAAGAAATAACAAAAAAGTATCAAACTGATAAATTTTATCTTTAATATTAAAATAAAATAATTAAATGACATTATTATTAATTATAAAAATGATAAAAAATGATCATATTAGAAAATATTGAAGTTAATACACATTGCACCGGTACATAACTAATTTTTTTAAACACAATAAAAACTAAAAAGTGACAAAAAAATAATGGAGTAATAAATATTTTTCAAATATTCAAAATAACATAATTATGGAATAGAAAGTATTATTATTAATTATATAAAAAAATTATTGTCAATACCTAATACTGTTTTTTAAAAAATTCAGCGGTGTCGGTTGACACCGCCGGACCCCCCCTAGGTCCGCCACTGCTTCTAAGTAGGCGTAAGGTCTGCGTCCACACACTCTCTTGTCCCTATTTTCTACTAGATTTTATTGGATTCGTTTGTTTTTTTTAGGTTTTGAAGTTTGAACTCTAGTCTTATACGATGATGAACTTTTTCGGTTGTTTCAAAATTAAAATTGACATTGTAGTCGGGTAATCCGGTTATTGCTCATGATAATGTATAAGAGGGCACTCCAATGCCCAAAGCATCATAAGGGTGTGACATAGGCAAACATTACATTGCCTTGATGATGATTCAACCAATCTATACTTCTAAATGATTTAGTTCTTGTATTTTTTTCTTTTACTCTTGAAGGAATGAGAAGGGGGTGTTTTATGCATTGGACCTTGGCGGTACTAATTTCCGGGTGTTAAGAGTACAATTGGGAGGGAAGGAGGAGCGCGTAGTTTCCACAGAATTTGAGCAATTGTCTATACCCCAAGAATTGATGTTTGGTACCTCTGAGGTCAGCTATCTTCTGTGCCTAGTTTTCTTTTCTTTTCTTTTCTTTCTTTAATACGAAGTATAATTTCACGCTTGCATTAACATTTGTGGCTTATTCCTTTCCGTCCAGGAGCTTTTTAATTTTATAGCTTCTGCACTGGCGAAGTTTGCACATGAGGGTGAGAAGGGTCATATGCAACCTGGAAGAACAAGGGAAATAGGATTTACCTTCTCTTTCCCGGTGAGGCAGACTTCTGTTAAATCTGGCATTCTAATCAATTGGACAAAGGGTTTTGCCGTCTCTGGAACTGTGAGTATTCTTGATGA